AAACTACTCCCCCACCAGCCCAGGAACCCTTGCTCAATGTTATGCAGTTTTTAAGGGGAAAACCAACTAAGATCAAAGTAAGACTGAATTCCCCTGGCAACGTGAGGAAGGCTCCAGGGACGTTAGTAATATTCCTTGGACAAAGGACTTGTTTCTGTGGTGGATATGGCAACAGCGTGCAGCCTGATTCGGTCAATTACCCCTGCAACAGCTCCAGTACGCAAATCCATTTTCACACAGATTGTTCAACCATATTTACTAATACAAATGTTTTCAGTCAATTAGTTTTGATTAAAACAAATCTGTTTTTACAAACTGCGCAGAAATCTACTTAACATTTCTGTCAAAAGGAACAGAGTACCATTTCTTTCCTAGTTTTCAATATTCTGAAGATTTCCTTAACATTGCATTAAAATGTTTCTGCTAAGTAGTAGCACACCTGGGTTTCCTAGACATTGAGACAAACACTCCTCCTTACCCCAGGAAAATTCAATACAGAATTAGGTTAAGTGCTTGGAAAATGATTATATGAATGTAGAAGGAAAAATCAGTTTGTGATACTTAACATACACATAAAAATACAAGTACTATTTAATTGTGGGTTTATGTTTTAAGTAGGAGCCAACTTCTAAAATACAGCATTCAAATTTATAATTTGATAAGAGAGGATGTAAAATTTGGGGAATTTTAAGAAAGAACTGAAGGCATCAATTTATTATTTTGAGGAAAAGTGTTACTACTGTTTTTTTGTAATGAATGCAAAGGGTACTTGAATCCGATAGCTCTTGCTTTGTTTCAGTGCAAAGCCTGCCTATAGCAGGGAAACAGAACCTAGTTCGCAGACTCAAAATTACCAGTTGATCAAAGCCCATGCTATGTAACACTTAGAATACAAAATTTCTTCTGCCCTGGATAAATTTGCATAACTGACAGAACTTAGATTGGCTCAATTACTTAAACCAGAAATGTACTCTTCAGAGGCATTTAATCATTTAGCTTCATACTGACAGTAGCTGAAGGAACAAGAATATGTGTTCAAAATTAACTACGTACTAACATTTCCTTTAGACTAAATTTTAACCCCTTCCCTCTCTCTCTTTCTCAAACTTTATTTCCATTAGCAAAGGAAATGCTCTTCTGATAATAAGCTAATATCAACGGCCTGGCTGTTAAAATTATTTCAGTTTGATTCAAACTCACCAGCATTTTCCTCAGAACATGCCATCAATTATGAATAATTCACTTATCAATAACCAATTAAAGGCACATGATACAATATATTCCACTGTAGAAAAAAGTGGTACCGGCAGTCATGTGAAAATGCAGATTACATTTTAAACTAGAATATAAACTGAGAGCAAATGTGTTCACTCTTTCTGTTAAGGCAACTAGGAAATCAGGAGAAATTTTATTCCATTTCTAGAGGACTGGGGAGAAGAAACATTCTAACATTTGTCTTTTAATTTAGCAATTATTAGGACACACTTTTTATGACAGCAATCCAATAGAGCAGGAAAAAAAGCAGAACAATTATAACAAAAAATTAAGTCAGAAAAACCCCACACTTTTTTCAGCTTTGTAAGTACAAATTGAAAATACATGGAAGTAGTTTAGATTAGCATAGTAAACTGTCCTAGTTTAACCCCAGCCAGCAACTAAGCCCCACCCAGCCGCTTGCTCACTCTCCACCAGTGGGACAGGGGAGAGAATCGGAAGGGTAAAAGCGAGAAAACTTGTGGGTTGGAATAAAGACAGTTCAACAAGGAAAGGAAAAGCTGCGCATGCAAGCAAAATAAGGAATTCATTCACTGCTTCCCATGGACAGGCAGGTGCTCAGCCATCCCCAGGACAGCAGGGCTCCATCACACGTAACCATGACTTGGGAAGACAAAAGGCTGTGACTCTGAACATCCTCCCCCTTTCCTTCTTCTTCCCCCAGCTTTATGTGCTGAGCATGACATCATATGGTGTGGGATACCCCTTTGGCCAGTTGGGGTCAGCTGTCCCGGTTGTGCCCCCTCCCAGCTTCTTGTGCCCCCCCAGCCTCCTCACTGGTGGGGTGGGGTGCAGATCAGAAAAGGCCTTGACCCTGTGTAAGCCCTGCTCAGCAACAGCTAGAACATCCCTGTGTTACCAACACTGTACCCAGCACAAACCCCAAACAGAGCCCCATACCTGCTACCATGAAGAAAATTAACTCTGTCCCAGCCAAAACCAGCACATAAATGAACCACTGGAATAACGAGTATTTTAGTGATATGTATCATACATTGTGCATTAAATTATTAGCTTGAGTTTATTATCAATTTTTTGTGCAATTCACATGCTTTTTGTATTTCACATTTACTCCTTAGTGTAATGTATGCAGTAAAGCACAAAGTCAGTATGTTTTCAGTATCTTGTTTTATTCTTACCATGGTTTTGCTACACGTGGCAGGTATCAATGCATAGTTGGAAAGATCAATGAATTTGAAATGTACATGAAATACTGGTAAGAAATTGTTAGGGAATTCATTCATCATAGGCAGGCATATCTCCTAGGTGACATGCGCTGAAACAAATATTTAACTTCTCCTTTGTACTTTAATCTGGCTGCCCACAAATTACAGCGTTACATGCAATGTGTCAGTTTTTACCTTAAAAAGCTGTCAGTGGCTTGAGCTGAAGTTGCCTAAATGTTGGGATGAAGCATGAGACTGCCATGTCTGTTTGGGCAGAGAGAGAAAGAAGTCTCATGTCACAAGGGCTTGCTACTTTCCTTAATATGTTTCTAAGTGGTGTCCACCTATTGCTGTCATAGAACTGGTGTAAGAACATGACCAGAAAAATAGTATTTTGAAATACAGCTGAAAATGATTGTAAACAAAAATCCCACAAAAAACTATAAGATAGAGAATAGTGTATGTGTTTTTAAACTACTGGAGATGTACCCGTTAACTGATCCCTAAACATAGCTAGAAGAGTACAGTACAAATCTTGAGGACTGTTGGTGGACACATAGTTACCAAAACCGCTACAGCTACCATCTAAAAATGATAAAAGTGTAATTCTCCACTTTGTTCCTATATACATTTTCCTTTGCAACAAATCTGGATGAAGCACAAAATTATACCAATATTATACCATGAAACAAGAATGCAGAAAATTTTCTACATGGATTTAAGTGTTCATTTCTTGCACAAAACATATTCATCGTTGGCATTTCATAGCCTATGGTTTAAAATACAGGTCAGAAGTAAGTGAACAAGCAACCCTGCTGCTCTACTAAACCATCATGCCTTTGGATAAGACAGTTCCTGCTCTGAGGGCTCTAAAGCAAGACATTTCTGATGTTGTTTCTGGGAAACTCTTACATATTATAAAAGACAGAAATCCATGGTATGAGGATATTCCTTTAAGGAATGTCCTGCTTTTCCAATCTTCTTTCCAAGAAAAAAATCTTTTAGTAATTTTGTAACAAAGGCTAACCAAGCCCACTGTACTGTCAGACAAGTTTCCATAAGCATGGGTTTCTAACGTGAAGAACAGATAGGGTAGAGACTATTCTTTTTGTGGGAAGACATGTTTTAAAAGGATGAAACACTCCATAATTCCCATAGTGTGCTGCAGAGAGCCTTTAGTACTTTGCAGCCATAGAAGGTCTCCGGGACCCATTAAGCCAGCCATCCCAGTTAATATTTTCCTGTAATTTTTTTGTACTTTATACTAAAATACATTTACTTACATAAATGTGGTATGAACACATCACCTAATCTTTGCACACGCCACCCTACATATGGTCTTCCATAAAACAATCCCTTTTGACAGCTATTCATCATAAACTAGAATAATTAAGGCCTCATCTCCTTAACGGGCAATGGAGTTCAAGGAATAAAAAATTAACAAAACAATTACTACTAACAGACATTTCTCAGCTTGTACACTGTAAACTAGACAAGAGCTTAATTTTTACTTTGGGACTTTATCCGAGAAATTTCTGTAGAAGAAAACCATTACGTTGAATAGTCCACAGTGCAAATTACTAGGTTCTGAACCTGCAACATAATAACATTTTTCCTTAAGGAACTTATTTATGAGGAAATTTCTGTTTCCGTATAATAATAATAATGCATTTTATTTTACAATAACAAGGATGATATTGCACTTACTGAAAAATGCTGTTTATGAGTACAATAGTAAGGTCTTTAAGCAAACTCACATTTTGAGCAATTTAGATTTTCTTACGTCTTCCTGAATCTTTCCTAAAGCTTACGTTTTACTGTAATAAATAATTTTGCCTTTACACAATCTTTAAATATTTACTAAAATTCCTTAGTTCCAAATTAAATAATATTTATCATTAGTGTATTTTTTAAATTGAACAATTTGGCCAACACACATAATACTGTAACCAAACTGTCTTCTTTTTTCCAATCAATCACAAATAATAGCTAGTAATTATCTGCAAATTGAGTACCAAGCAACTACAGAGGAATAGAATTTAGTAGAAACACTATATGAGAGCAGTGTTCAAAGAGGTCCAGATATACAGTTGCACATTGTGAAATACTTTCTTTTAAAACAGTTGTATATAAGAGTCCAGCGAGAAAACAAATACATTCGAAAGGCTGATGTTTTTTAGAAGTGCCATACACTACTAAATTCTCAATAGTACTTAGCATTTATATAGTACTTTACATTTTTAAAGTGCTATATGAATGCTATCTAGATAAAATGTATTATCTAAAGGCAGAATACAAATCCAAAGTGAACGGTGATCAGATGAATGGCACCATGGCAGTAAATTATAACATAATTACTACAGAGAGAGACTAAGGATCATCTAGCTATGCATGAACTATAATGGAAGACCACATATTTTACAAGGGGAATGTACAGATATAAAATTATTACCATTCATGAAATAGGTTTCTATGACCACAAGGAACTGATACAGGAGCTCTAACTGGCTCCAGCGGCTTAAAATGCCTAACTCTGAAGCTTCAGTGATAAACAGCTTATTTCAAGTGCTAAGACAAACAACCTTTAAGAGCCATTATTCTTACACATCAATGTGGATTCCATGTTTTATAGACATTAATTCTCTAGTGCCTGTTAAATACATAATAAACGAACATAGATGAGGTAAAGATGCTGTAATTGCCACATACAGCCAATATGGTAAAGGAGGAGTTTTTCCAAACGGGCAGATCCAGAGGCCATGACGAATCCCGTCACGGATATGATGAGAAGTCCAGGATATGAACAACATCCAGGGAAGAAAGCACCATGAATCCTTAAGCCTGAAAAGGTGCATAATAAACTTTAATGTCAGAGCCACAACAGGAATCACAGTAGAACAGTGAAGAAGTGGTCTCTGTGGAAGAGTCAGAGCAGCCTGCAGAAAAGAAAAATATAATTGGCAATGGCTACAGTCATGACAAGAAAGGAAATGTTTCGCGGATGTTTACAGGTGTATTATCAAGTGGCTAAGTGGAAATGCCAAGAAGAACATACTGTTCCTTTCCGCTGTGGTTGATCAAAATCAACACTATGACTATTTAGATGTGTGAGAGCTGTGTGCTGCCCTGTCAGTAGCAGGGGTGAGGGTGCTGGGACAGGCTTTTCTCTCTCTGTTGTATGATAAGAAACCTATTAAACATTACCGAAGGCAAAACAGGGAGGAAGAGGGATGAGGTATGCTATTTGTCATATAATCATGTGGTATACAGGAATTTGTATGGTCTGCTGCACTGATTATATGTATTTAATTTCAAAATAATTAGAAGGAAAACAACCATACAATACACTTGAAATATTTAGTATGCTTTACTTGAAATATTTCGTATGTTTTAATGGCATATATTTTAAAAAATACATCCTGTATTCTACTACAGTTAGCACCTATGACGTTGTTTTAGTTGGACAATATCTAAAACAGAACAAGAATTTCCAAAACAACAAAAAAAACACAGAGATGGAAACTTATGGACTACCTTGGAATATAATAGCCTGTGCTTTAAACGAAAGCCAACGTTAAAAGGCTTGCTGAAAGCTTTGCTCTATTAGCTTCCCACCACATGCTTGTCCATTACTCTCTTGATCAGGTGATGGGATTAAAAACCTCACAAACTACCTCAGCCGCTTTTAACTGTAATGGTATGGACCCAACTCCTTAAAGTTGGTGCAGAGGGTATATGCTTTACAACCTTATTTCTGTTTCCTACAAGCAGACTGTTGACAGATTAAAGTAGAAAAATCTTGTGATGGTGAAATTGTTTATCACCTATGCTACAAAGACAATCAGATTTTTGTTACTGTCAGCAAGAGCCTAAGAAGTCCATGCTAGTCTAATTTTGAAAAAACACCCTGGATGGTGATTATTTTTGACAGATATCCTACTGAGTGGTCACTATTTCTGCAGTTCGAAAAAATCAGTGTCAAAGTGTAAATGTATCTTTTCCCTCTGCTTTATGGAGGTTAGGTGCCAACAGCAACACAGCGAGTAAGAACTTGAATGTTAATTACGTATGCAGTTTATCAGTGCCAATCTTTATCCAGTTTTGGGGAGGTGACGCTTAAATTTTTTTCATACAGAATTTTAGATGGCAGGGTTGTTCATACAGCAAACCTGAGCACCAATACTAGCAAGAGAAAACCCTATTTTTTAACTGCAGTACAGTCATTAAGCTTCTGAAATGCTGTTGCTCAAGTCCTGAGAGAAGAATAGGCTGTTTTCTCATTTACATTCTGTAACTAGAGAAACATTTACATCCTTGAGCTGCCAAGCCCAAGAGACAGACAGTTCTATTTGGCAATATAAGCTGTTATACTTTCTCCTAAAAGGCAAATTTGTTTGCCTTTAGAAATCACCAGATCTTAAAAAAAAAATAATAGTAACAAACATTTTCTGCCTTAAACCTCCTGGAAAAAGATGATCATGGTTTGGGTAGATTTAGGGGGACATCTACCGTGAGACAGATCAGGCTGCAGTTGCAAAACAGAATTTATACCCAACACAAACTACCTTTTCCATTTGCCTATGTCTTCAATCAGGTGCAAGATCTTCTTGAAGTTCTTGCTCCTCCAGCCCCTCTCACATACTATGATGAGCAGCAGGAGACAGGAGACAACAACTCTTTGCTTTGATGCTCAAAGAATTTATGTAACAACATGGGCTTCCTCACTCATATTCTGTGGTGAGTCACAAGGCTGAAGTCCTTAGTTTGGAGGCTGATCTATGAATTCAATGTTAAATTATGTGTATGCAAAGCTTATTCTCCAGTTCCAGAAATGCTCCTATGCAGTTCAGGTTGGTCAGCTGTGGCACATTAACCAGCTCACAATGTTATGTACGTTTACCAGTACAATCTTGTTTGCCACCAATTGCATTCTCTACACTTCTAGAAGCTGGTGAGTCTTAAGTAGCAAGCTAGCAATTTCTGCACGTCTGTTCTGCAACATGAGTGTTTGGGCTACAGTCCTGGGAGACACTTCTCACTGAAGTTGTACCTGTATCACATTTAGCCCATCACGCTGCTCTTGTTTATCAGTAATGCTGAGTATGATGGCAGGCTGCAGCAACTTTCACAGCTCGCCAATGAGACAGATTCTTCAACCGCTGACTCTTAGATTCTTCTACACTTCTACACTTGTGTGCATATAATACACAGTAAAAACTACATGGAATACAAATACAACTACAAATTCTAAGTAGCAAAGTCTTTGTAGACTTTACACTTGTCGCTAAAATAATGTGGGCAAAAGGGCAGATCACATGCTGCTTGGCACACAAGTATTTCTCAGAGTAAACATATAAATACCACAGGTGACTATTTACCCTGAATACTCCACAAAAATAATGATGACACCATGAAAAACAGTCCAATAGCCAAATAATCCAAACAGAAAACTGTGTCAAAAAGATGGCTGGAGTAGCGTGAAGGTAGCACCTGGAGGGAGAAGGCAATACTGCCTTGTGCTGCATAGAAGGGTTACTTCAAAAAGTAACCCATCATCGTATTTAAGAGTGATGATGAAGACCTCTATAAATAAGTGTGTAAGGTGAAAAATACTACTGTTACAAATTAGTGGTGTGGTTAATTAGATTTCTTAATTTATTACTTAGTTACTTAGTAGCGTGTTGCATAAGCAGTAAACATTTTAGTCTCTTAAATCAGTTACTCTCAATCCTGCAATCTAAAGAGGAATGGGACTGAAACTAACAAATAGGTAGTAAAAAAAAGTATCACACAAAGTAATAAATTACATAGGCAACAGCCTTAAATTACAACATGAAACTGAAAGGCATATCATATTAAGCTGAGAAAAGAAAAATCACATATTTAAATCAGGTCTAGCTAGCCAGGCAACAGCACAACAGAAAAATTTATGGGGATTACATTGTATCACAAACAAAAAAGACTGATGGCGTTACAAGATTACATAAAACCTGTAACAGATTTTTTTTTTTCTTTTTAAAAAAGACCGAAGTGTATGCATGTGACTTAAGAAGGAATTAATCTATGCTATTTGGCTCAAATGAAGCGTCACATAAAGTACTATGGGCAGCTTGGCATAGAACCCTTTAAAGATAATTTAGGCAACAGGCATTCCAGAGGAGACAAGAAAAATAGTAAGAGGTTTAGAAAACGTAAATGCAGGCCCTTCAGATTTTTTTTTGCAGGTTCTTTAGTCAAGAAGAGACTTTTTGTAAAGCATAATGTTTTTTCAAGTTGTAAGAGTAATGCTGTTACTGCTGTAAGGGTCAAGAGACCTACACAGGATATGGTTCACAGGTAAACATCCTTTACTAGCACCATTAATATACGGAAGGGGGAGGAGTTTGTAAGCAAATGACTACCAAAAAGCCTTTGGGTGTCTTGCCTTCTCCTTACCTCAGCTAAGTAAGTCTGGTTACTAAAGGCCTATTCTACCTGCAACATCTTGTATTTCTGATTTGAAAAACATTTTGGGGGAGAGCACAGCAATCAGCTGTCTTTTGCAGAGAGACCTTAAAGAATCAGAAGACAAGATCTAGCTGTCAACAACAATACTCTAAGCTGGATATTAATTAGAAAAACAGTTTATAGCTGCTTGGGAATGGAAACAACACAGGAGCAAATTAAGTCATGAAACTGCAATAATTTACTTTGTTGGGGATACTAGGGGTAGGCTACACATTGTCCATCATGGAAAGTGCAAGCATATTTAGCATTGCCTCACTGAAGGCACCTCCCAGTTCTATGATACAGTACAATACTCAACTTCCTAAACAGACATTGGTGAAGAGTGTCATCTAGTGGTCATAACTAAGAAAAAATAATGGTGATAATCTCAAATGCAAGAAAAAGTAGCAATAAAATTTTAGCAATACTTTGTAACAACTAGCTATTAATTACTTGCATTTACTGATTTTATAGTAATATACTTTAAAATATTTATAGATTTAAATGCCATAGTAAAATGTTAATCTTATAGGACCCATTAATCAACCAAACTAACTTTCCTTTTCCTTATCTAGTTTTATAATTTTGCAGTATTTCCATAGGCAAAAAGTACAGAAAAGGGGAGAACTAGGAACTACCTACAGAATAACAACCCCAGGCAACAGTACATGCTGGAGGCTGGCTGGCTGGCAAGCAGTTTTGAGGAAATGACCGGGCATCCCAGTGGACAAGTTGACTATGAGCCAGTAATATGACCTTGTGGCCAAGGCGGCCAGTGGTATCCTGGGCTGCATTAGGAGGAGTGTTGCCAGCAGGTCGAGGGAGGTGATCCTTCCCTTTCTCCTCAGCACTGGTAACACCACCTCTGGAGTGCTGAGTCCGGTTCTGGGCTCCCCGGTACGAGAGAGACATGGAGCTACTGGAGATCGAGTCCAGAGAAGGGCCACCCAGATCACAAAGGGACTGGAGCATCTTGCATATGAGGAAAGGATGAAAGTTGGAGCTGTGCAGCCTGGAGGAGAGAAGGCTCAAGGGGGACATCATCAAGGTGTGCAAATATCTGAAGGGAAGGTGCAAAGAGAACAGAGCCAGGCTCTTTATAGTGACACTCACTGACAGGGCAAGAGGCAACAGGGACAGACTGAAATACAGGAGGTTCCTCCTGAATTTAAGGAAACATGTTTTCACTGTGACGGTGACTGCACACAGGAACAGGTTGCCCAGAGAAGCTGTGGAGTCTGCATCCTTGGAGATATTCAGAAGTTGCCTGGACATGGTCCTGAGCAACTGGGTCCAAGTAAGCCTGCTTCAGCAGGGGGGCTGGAGAAGATGACCTCCAGAAGACCCTTCCGCTCTGTCATTCTGTGAAAACGCCCTCTTTGTTGAAGACAAATATAAGGGGAAAACTGACCAAATGCACAAACAAGAAAATGTCTTTTCTCTACATCAGATGGTGATATTGTCCATAAACAAAAACTATTTTCCCATCAGAAGTCTGATTTTTACATCTCAACTATAAGCAATAATGCTTCTTGCATTTAGCTCTCCTACATATTAAAAAAAAAAAAAAGTACACCATTTTGCTTTGTTCTTCTTTAATTAAAGGATTACAAAGAACAGTGATTTTCCCTCCACCTCCTTCCCTTCTCTGAGCTATTTCCTCTGTCATCCACATGAAAAGTGTAACACTATTATGAGCAAACTGGAGGAGAAGAAAGAAAGTGAGATGGTCAAACAAGTAAGCTATGCAGTGGTTGAATGGATAGAGATCAGCATCTTCCCCTTCTCCTGTGCAGGTCCATCTGTGGGTGGGGGCATACTTTTTTGGGGAGCAGAGAGTAAGAAGCATGTATGTATACATATGCTAGCAACACCAGCATAATCAAACTGTCTGGACTTTTGTTGCTGAGCAGAGCAAATTCCTGATAAAAAGCAGAGTGGCAGGGCTCCAGCTATGGGGACCAGGATCTAGCTGGGGGCGAGGGGTATCTGCCTGAGCTATGAGATCGGAGGGCAGCGTTAAGAGAACTGTAGCTGGGGCTGGCACAGACAGAGCTTACAGAAGGTGCAGGTGTTTTGAAGAGTGTACAGAAGAGGCTGCTGTGGTCAGGGAAAGCTGGGTATATATGTTCAGAGCAGGCAAGACAACAGGAATATATGCGCGTGAATGAATGGGGAAGCAGGAACAGGACACACCTAAACCACTGGAGAAACAGTGAAAGAGAATGCCATAATCTGGTAAAACCAATTCAATTGAGAAACTCCATCCTAACAAGAGGTTCTGCAAATGCATGATGATCACATATATTCCTCAACAGGCCCCAGTTCACCTTTTAACTTTTATTAACAAGATTGACACTTGTTTTTTGGTTTGGTTTTGTTTTTGTTTTTTTTACTACCAGCAATATTTAAGGGCAAACTCAGTCTGTCTTTTTAAAAGTCACAGCTCATATATAGCTTGTTTGTGGGAGAAATATTTAGGGCTGTCCAAAGCCAAATGTACTACTTCTCAGTAAGACTGAATGAGACCAAACAGCAGCTGGATTATCTACTTTCCAGATATTTCTACCCCTTACTGTAAACAGAAATGGAATAATCCACTTTATACACACAGTGTGAATGACAGCACTTAACTGTTTAACTTGGATAACAAAGCAACACATAGAGTATGATATACATGGGTTTTCAGAACTCTTTTTTCAGAGCCTTGTAAGAATCATAACAGTAGATGTAAAATATCTTTAGGACTTCTAAAATCATAACAACTGCATACAAATATAATTCCCAGGTAACTATTAAAAATGCATCTGATTAAAGTACCATTGGAACTTTTTTTGCATCGGGTGTGGTAGAAGAACAATAAAGTAAACAGTGATGAAGAAAGAAAATAAACCATCACTGATCTGCTTGTTGACTTACCTTTAATGACAGGGAGCCAGCAAGAAAGAAGTGGTCCACATCAATGACAGAGGCGAGGAAGCCAGCCAGAGTGACCTCAGTGAAGTCACTTTTCTTCCTGAGTCCAATCACTATTGCCCAGGACCACATTCCTAGTATACCATGCACTGCATTATCAGACAAGGCTCGGAGCCAGTCATTTTGCTGAATGAAGGAAAACTGCAGAAGTCTGTCTGCTACAAAGCAGAATATTCCCAAACCTAGACTAGAAATAACTGAAGCTGTGCTGAAAGTTTGGAGAAGAGCATGGGCCTTTTCAGTCTCAGATTCCATGGTAAAAACCATGTCACAGCAGACGGAATGTCATCAGGGTATACACTGTGCATTGTCCTTTGTATCATCAGTTGTTCTGTAAATGTCAAAGAACAGAAAGAAAACTTTTTAAGAAAAACAATGCATTAGCACAAAGCATTTGTCATCACAGCTACAACTGAGCATAAACCCCCCAATTTCAGTGTTTGCATTTAATATTCCTAGGGAATCTTTGATTTCAGTTGAATTAATTTGTTGACTTCAACACTACCGCTCTGAATTAAAATGCTTGTCCTGTTTTAATTAGAACAAGCACCTCTATGTGGATACATCCCTAGCAGAACAAGGACATCAGGTTCTGATAGGGTTGGAATGCTCTTAAAGGGGAAATGCTTAGCCAGTGTACGGGACGCTATTAAAGGGGAAATGCTTAGTTGCTAGAGTAGAGAAGCAGTAACCGCAAGTAGGGTAAGATGATGATAATGAAATAACCAATGAGTGAGTTAGAGGCTTATATGCTTGCTGGATAGACAGTAGCATGTACGAATTAGGAAAGTCTACGTGACCGTGTGTACGGGACTTGGAAGACTATAAAAGCTGTATGCAAAGCTATAATAAACGGCTTCTGGAGATCATATTGGTTGGCGTCAGGAGACTGGTCCTCCGCATGTGGTGACCCCGACGTGCCTACGATGGCGCACCCCGACGTGCCTGCGGTGGCACAGTGGTTTTATGAAAAGGTGGAAGGACTTGGCTGATGACGGAGTAGCTGGTCTACCCGGGATTTGAAAGAATATTGAAGACACTACGCAGTGGAGCACCTACGGGAAAAGGTGAGCAGCCGAGGCCGGAACATGGGGACGGCTATAACTAAAGAGGAAAAAGTAATATAGGACATGTTCCAGCATATTCTCTCTGTGAGAGAACTGAAATATGATAAAAAGACTTTAAATCGCTTATTGCGATGGGGACAGTCACATGGTTTTTTTACCTCAGCTTGTGATGCTTTTGATTTAGTCTGCTGGGATAAGCTGGGAGCCGCGCTGTGGGATGAGGGCGGCAATGGGTCTAAGGAGGCTGTCGCTTTAAGTTCGGCATGGGAACTCATTACCGTGGTACTTGAAGAACTAAAAGCCAAAAATCTCTCCATGCAACAGCTGCGAAAACTGAGTTTCTCATCTATAATCCAAACCATTATTTTCATTTACATACTTTGCAAACTTATGTATTATCACCCTGGTACCCCTTTTTGAGCAATTCCTTGTTTAGCTTGGAGGCTGACACGTAGAATAAGCATTAAGAAAACCAGAATCACTAAAATACCTTTATATAAACACAAACACAACAACCATTCAGTCAAGCAGAAGCGTCCAAAACTAACTCCTTAGAGAGCAAAACTACCTATGCTTTTCCTCAGTGTGTGCTCCAGCAAACTGTTACTTTTAGGACTTGTCTATTGCCTGCAGCATTACCTTCATAACAGCTCTTTTTGCAGAAAAAAAGAAAATCAACTAATCTCAGTCATTTTACTTTTCAAAAGTTGACCATTGGTAATTTGGAAAAAAAAAGCATTAATAATCACATAAAAGTCCTTAAAAACTATTTAGGTTCTGTAATTGTTATGAAACCCTCTTGTACAAGGTGATTTATTGGGAAGAATTACTGTCCTTAAATAACTGCTTGACACCTCAAAAGAAATTCCAAAAATAATTTGGTATCTTAAAGACACCCCCATCCCACTCCCAAGAAGCAATATGGGATACCCAGATTATAAAGACAGGGTACTCATTTCTGTGGTAACATTGAAAAGAACACTTCTGAAATAAAAATCCTCATATAAATTATGTACTCTAACTGCCCCCAGCTGTTACGCTCTTCTGTCTTTTTGAGGAGAGACCACAGTTTCAAAGTGTACAACCTATCTAAAATTGGAATCTTGCCGAGAGGTTGCTATTTCTGTGCAACACATTAAGTCTGATTAATCCTTCTTCTTACAGTTCTACCAGGTAAATTTTCATTCTAAATGGGCTTTTTATGATTTATTAGACTTCCTTTAAAAAAGAATGCTTCTAACAATGTCAACGCATAATAGTTCATTATTTCAATTTATTTGTTTATTATATAAGCCCCCCAAAATATAAAATGTTTCTTCTAGCTTATTTACATGCCTGTTTATTGTAGAATTATCCACAAGACATGGCTACTGGCATTGATCTGTACAGGAAAAAATCTCACTGAAGCATTTGTTTGAAAAAGACTAAAAAAAAAAAAAAGAGAAGAAAGCATGAATAATACATGGACTTCGTGCACAGATGAAAAAAAGTGGGTCAAGTTTAGAGTCTGTTAACCGTGACTATGCCTGTTCTGAATGAACATGTAGACACAAGTATTTCCTGAAACACTGGAACTGCCATCTTCTGGTGGGTGACTTTACAATCTACAGCACATTTCTGAATAAATTCAATTTTAAGGAACAAATAGCGATCTCACAAATGTTTCTTCTATATAATCATCGTGTCAGATTGCATTTTATTTAAAATTACCAGAAAATCTAAGAATCTAATCTGGGAAGAGCTGATGTAGCAACATACCTTTAAAAAGCACACCAGTATTCAGAATCAAACTTACCCTGTGACTGGGAGAACGTATTTTTTCCATTGCAGTTGCCTTACTCGAGTAGCAAACGTGGTCAACACCTCAGCGTTGAGCCTCTGTGTTTTCTGAATCCAGTCTGCCCAGTCCAATGCAGAAAAGACCAAACACCGTTTGTTCCATCCTATATAAATTGAACCAGGCAGCAGTAAGCACCAATACTACACAAGGCTCTTCAAACTCTCTCTAAAACATACATGAAAACTGAAGAACAGTAAAAAATACAGAAAAAAGCAACATCTTTTTAATTAATTCCTGAACAAATATAATTGATCCAAAAGCAACTTCAGCTAGGGCTTAGAAGCTCTGTTAAAGAAAGCAGGAAAAAAAGACCATAAAACAAGAGAAGGGCGCAAATAAAGACGGAAAAAAGCTAACAATTAAAAGATGATAAAACACAATGTCATAAAGTCAGAAAAGGGTACTTCCAGCCTTCTGTTTTAAGTAATTGCATTTCAAAATATACAGAGATCTATTTTAACAGATGTGTGCCTGGAAGAACTGTGTGCCTGACAGATTCCCACCTAATGAAACATTTATGAGTCACACCCAGGGATCTCTTTGTAATTTCATCCCATCAATTAGTGATCTTGGAATAGATTAACAGAGACCTATAAATTCAAATAGCAACAGAGGTTTGTGTCAGTTCTGTGGTAGGCTTACACTGCTTTGCTATGGGTATTATTAACAGGTGCATAAAGTACACAGCAAAAGTATCACTACAGACTTACAAAAAATCCAAAATTAGTACGACTTGAGAATTACATGTCATGAGTGAAATAAAGGCAACAATGCCAACTGGAAAACGAGGACAACATGTGAATGGGTGTCTTTGAGCCAGAATGAAGAACAGGAAGCAAAATTGTGGCTTCAGATTACCCTTAGCCAAAAGCCACAACCATGGCATAACAGTTCTTTTTGAACAGTCTGTCTCTGCTGTCTTTCATAGCCAAAAATGACTGCTGGCTATGTAAAAATCAAGTCACGTTCCCAGGTACAACGGCGTGAGTATAAATATTCTGCATATTGAAAGTGAAATCAGCCTATAAAAAGCAAAATGCTGTTCAACCAAAATAATTTCTGAAATTACATTTTTTAATATAAAAGTAGAAACCGCAGGTTTTGCCTGAAAAATAATGATTTTCAGAGCGTTTGCAAAATATCACAATAAAGTGTCATAGGTTTTTCTATCCTATACATCCCAGAAAGCATAGTTGTGGAGCTTACATTCTTGTTAGAACATTGGGAAACAGATGTATTACACAAGAATACTTAGAAACCTACGGGTGGCCACTCCAGTTAACATACTGAAGGAAAGACTTAGGTTGGGTTTACATAAAACTCACACACACAGCACCTGATAAGAGTAACACTGCTTAGAGTTGTGGTTTCTCATGACATTTTTATATGAGATAAAGCATTACATATGATCCCTGCCTATACCCACAAAATGCAATTTTGCTGGTATATTTAATTTCATTTAAGGAAATTATAAAAATGATTTTAACAAAAGTGCAGTTAGCATTGTAAATTACTGACACAAGAAGATATTTAGATCAAAGCTGTAAACACGCATTTGGGGAAAGAGCTGACACTAAGAGGCCTTTCAACTCATGGTGTAAGAGCAAAACAAAAATCCAGTGGCTAAAATTATCATTTAGGACTACTGCTGTCCAAAATTTTTGCTCCGATTTTGCATGAAATTATCAGATACAGGAATACTCATAGGAATTTAATACATAAAACCGTAGAATTATGCAATGGCAAGAAGTCAAAAGATCACAGTAGTCCCTTACAATTCTGTAATCGCCTAAAAAAAATTATTTTATATTGGATGTTAATTTATATGGAAAACTTCATAAAGTACAATTACCACCGAAGACACAAGCTCAAACCTTTAATGTATTATCCCATGGAAAAGCAGATCTGAGCCTAAAACACTCTGTGAAGAACTGATAATGCAAGTATTTTTGGGTCAGTTAATTATAATGCATTACTGGAGCTGGAAGGTGGATGGAGGCTGGAGAGAGGACAAAGGCACACAAGAAATTGGTAGGATTTTACCAAGATACTGAGGAACAAGGAAATTAAGAAAAACAAAACCCCAAACAACCTCACCCATAAAATCAGGATTTAAAGAAATTGTTTATTTCGGGGACCATAAATTAAAGTGTTTGAATCACAGAATCACAGAATTGCAAGGGTTGGAAGGGACCTCGGGAGATCAGAGACACCAAAATGTAGACCTTCTCCTTAACGAGTACTTTGGAACTGAGATGTACCTAAAAGAGTTGAAAGAAATATCCTGAAAGTATTTAGTAACTAGAAACAGACTACAGTACTACCCACCGGAAGAAAAAAATCATTTGTCATCCTAGACAAAAAAAAAAAAAGAGGGGGGGGCGGGGGAAAGCACGAGTGGTTTATGAATTACCCTCATTAACTATAAAAGCATTCGGCTCATAAATAGCTAATCCAATTTAAGATTAAAATATAGTACGTGTAACTAAAGAGAGGGACACAGGAGAGCCAGGCGTGCGGCACACAGACATGTAAAATTACAGAGATCAGCAACAATTTTTATGTCTTGAGGAAGGGGTCTGCTTTGTCTCCACGCCAAGCACCCCTCATCAGCCATCTCCTCAGTCACTAAAAAATCAAAACGTACAGTCATCTTTACAGCAAAAACGGAGGCAAGAGTGTCACGGAGCCTTACATGTAAGCGGCACGCCTGGCTTTAGGTAAAGCACCGCATTACCGTTTCTTATATCAAGACCTGACACGACGTATAGGTACCTCTATTAAGGAAAACAGGCATTTGACGCCGGCTCCCGTCAGACTGCGACGACAGCCTTCCCCCGGCTTTAGCTTCTTCTCAGTAAAACCCATCGCACTGTAAACGCCACGGGGCTCCCTCAACAACTTGACACACACTCCCCCCGAAATCCCAA